AATCTGTCTTGAATTGAGTGGCGGACTCGTCAGGCGCAGAGCTCAGCTGTAAGCTGTTATTATAGCTTCTGGCTCAGAACGTTCCACTCCTTTCCAATCGCTTTATCGGAAAAAAAAACGACTGCAAACCGCTCGTGTAATGAAACGAAGAGAGCGTCCTCCAATCCCGAGATGAGGAACGTTATGGAATCGTCAGCTGTGAGTGAACGATGGACGCACGGAAAACTGCTCTGTATAATAATAATGTGGAGTCCTGTAGCTCAGTGGTTAGAGCACTCGCTTTGCAAGCAAGACACCTGGGTTCAATTCCAGGCAGGGCGAAACCTTGGGCAAGTTTCCTTACTCCACACAGAGCCTAATAATAATCCCTCCAAAAAACCAAAACAATAATAAATTGGTCATTTTCAATCTACGACTGTTTGTGGGACATTGCTGTGCGCAATTGGCTGCCGCGTTCGCCCACAAATATACAGTCAATTCACTTTACAGTATATTCTGTGAAGCGCTTTGGGACGTCCTCCCAACGTGAAAAGCGCTATATCAAATGCAAGGATTATTATTATTATATTATTATAATTCATAACGATAATAATAATCCCTGGCATTTGACACAGCGCCTCATCGCGTCTTCGAGACGTCTCAAAGCGCTTCACGGGACACGTTGTTCAGTGGATTGACTGTGCATTTTTGGGGGCGAAACCAGTAAAACAAAATTACGATAAAAGCCGTGAAAGGCCCTTGTTTGAAGGGGAGGGGCGAGAAAAAGTACACGGTTTTATTTCGGACGTTCGAAATGGTTCAGAAAGATGACATTTTTCTTAGTTTAGGGACCCCCTGAAATTACTGCCTTTTGTGTGTGTGTGTGTGTGTATGTAGTGCACGTGTGTGATGTGTGTGTGTTGCGCGCGCGTGTGTGTTGTGTGTGTTGCGTGTATACTCTCCCTCCGTGTATCCGTCCTCGGTCTGAAAGCAAAGCAGAAATAAATACTCGAGGGCCCGAAACTCCGAATTTTTCATCCTTTAAAGATCTTCGGGTTAAAATGCACCACTTAGCGAGTTCTGGAGAAGGACGTCGCAGGATGTCCCGTAAAGTGTAGTGACTGTTGCGGGCGAAACGCGGCAGCCAATTGCGCCCACAGACGTCCCCCCCCCCCACAAACATTCGGGTGTGGGAAATGAAACCTGTGTTCGGGTTCAGTTCAGAGCTGCTTGACGCTGACTAACCCTTAACCTTACGCTAACTAACGGAGTAACCAGACTACCACACGGTTATTTTTCTCCGGCGCGGCAGCAACGACGACAACGACGACTTGGGCCCTTCAGACACGTGGGGTACAGTGGCGGAGTCTGACCCCAAGCCCGTTGGGGTGGGGTGGGGGGGCTGGCGGGAAGGGGGAGTGACGGAGGTGACCTTAAACACGGTCAAAAAGAGCCTGGCGAGGAGCGGGTCAGAGCCAGGTAACTCCATTCAGCCTCTGAGGCAGCACCAAGCGTTATCTTTAGCAGCTCTTTGTCTCAGAGCCTGACGGAGGCGTAGAAAAGGGCCATTGTCTTCGGGGAAAGGGGGAAAAAATCCTCCTCCTCCTCCTCGTTCATCTGCCGACACGAAGAAGAAGAAATCACAAAGGGTCTCATTATCGCGTCGCACCTCCCGCACAAGACACGATTGTTAGGGAAGAAGAACTGGGACGTTTCTGACTCTTGTTTTTGCTGAGAATTCTTGGTGGCTTTCAATTGTTGGGGAGAAGGGGGAAATCTCGTTGGGGAGTCTTTTGGTGGACGTTTCCGTGCGCTGCGCGAGTAGGAACCCGGTCGTTAGTCGGTTGGCGGGTGGCTTTTCCGTGGTGGAGTGCGACCAGCGACACTGAAGAGACTTTCGTGCTAAATGGAGATGTTGTCCCCATTGAAACCCAACCTAGAATGGTGACCCAGGGGATAGGACCACGGATGTGGGTGTCTTTCTGTCTACGCGTGGAGTTCCCTGGAGCTCAGGGGTTGGAGCCCTCGCCCCGCGAGCGAGAGGACCCGGGTTCGATTCCCGGGCGGGTCAGGTCAGGGCGAAATATTGGGCAAGTTTCCTTACTCCCCCCCTCACCCCCCCCCCACACACACACACACACGCGCCTCTGTTTACCAACAGTCAGTAGGAACCTGGTTATTAGTCGATTGGCGGATCGCTTTTCCGGGGGGAATAATCCCTTCAAAAAGAAATATTCAACCCGCGGCTGTTTGCGGGGGACGCCGCTGTGCACAATTGGCTGCCGTGTTTCGCCCACAAAATACACAGTCACTACACTTTACAGGGTATCCTGCGAAGCGCTTTGAGGCGTCTCGACGACATGATAAGGCACTGTGTCAAATGCCGGGATTATTATTATTATTATCATCATTATCTTTGCTTTCTCTCCTCTCTCTCTCCCACCTTCTTCAGCTCCCTCCCTCCTCACAGAACGGGTGCGTGAAAGGCTTTTGAGACGTTTTCCTGACACGAAAAGCGTTGGATAAATGTCAATTGCTTCGTTATTGTATTGTTTTGTTGCTACATTTAGAGATTTGGGTGACATGGGTTTATAATTCCGTTGTTAACAAAATCGTGTCTCTGTATAAAAAAAAACTTTCTAACAAAGCCTTTCTAGATTTGACAATTATTTCTTCAATCCTATTGACTATAATAATAATACTAATCCTCGCATTTGACACAGCGCCTTATCACGTCTTCAAGACGTCTCCAATTTGAGTCACCAATTTATTATTATTTTTATTATAATTTTTGGGGACGGGATTATTACCCCCGGAAAAGCGATCCCCCAATCGACTTACAACCGGGTTCCTACTGACTGCCGGTAACCAGAGGCGCTGCGTGTGTGTGTGTGTGTGTGTGTGTGTGAGTGTGGGGGGGGGTGGGGGGAGTAAGGAAACTTGTCCAACATTTCGCCCCGACCTGACCCGCCCGGGAATCGAACCCGGGTTCCCTCTCGCTTGCGAGGCGCGGGCTCTAAACCCCTGAGCTCCGGGACCGTACTCATAGAGTTGGTGGACTGTAAATGGAATTGAGATGATGGGGGAGGTGGTCGGGTGGGGGGCGGGGGGGGGGGAGGGAGGTGGTGGTGTTGGTGGGTGCGGAGTGGGGGGGAGGGGGGGGGGGGGGTTGAGGGGTGGGGGTTGATACCCACTGGCGTTTTGAAATGTTTTTGTCTCCATTGAATGCGGTAATGTTTATCTCGTTGGCCTGTGCACTCTGGGCTTTTTTGGTCTGTTGAGCTCCAGGTGAATTGTACTTTAACAAAGGCTTTTTCCAGCTGCTGAAACTGTCGGTAATAACGCAGAGTGCCAGCTCTCCCCCCCCCTCCCCCCCCCTCACACGCATGGTGTGCAGAGGCTCAGCAAACCCCCTCGACTATCCATCTCGTCCGTACGCTTCCCATTGTGTGCTGACACGACATGGGCTCTGCATTCTCATCATTATTTCATCGGGGGGGGAAGTCTTTGCACCGGAGTCGTGGGGTTGCGGCCACTCGCGACGCTGATGGTTACTCGAGGGGGGGGGATGAGTTTGCAGGGCTGCGGGGAGAGAGGGAGAGAGAGAGAGAGAGAGAGAGCGTGGGGGAGTGGGGCTGATCAGGGCTACGGAGAGAGAGAGAGAGAGAGAGCGCGCGCGGGGGAGTGGGGCTGATCAGGGCTATGGGGAGAGAGAGAGAGAGGGAGAGAGAGCGTGGGGGAGTGGGGGTGATCAGGGCTATGGGGAGAGAGAGCGCGCGGGGGAGTGGGGCTGATCAGGGCTATGGGGAGACAGAGAGAGAGAGCAGGGGGGAGTGGGGGTGATCAGGGCTATGGGGAGAGAGAGAGTGAGAGAGGGGAGTGGGGCTGATCAGGGCTATGGGGAGAGAGAGAGAGCGGAGGGGGGGAGTGGGGGTGATCAGGGCTATGGGGAGGGAGAGAGAGAGAGAGCGGGGGAGTGGGGGTGATCAGGGCTATGGAGAGAGAGAGAGAGAGAGCGCGTGGGGAGTGGGGGTGATCAGGGCTATGGGGAGAGAAAGAGAGAGAGAGAGAGAGAGAGAGTGAGAGTGGGGTGTGGGGTTGATTTGGAAGCTCTTTCCGAAGAGCCGACACAGACACGATGGGCCGAATGGCCTCCTCCTGCGCTGTAAAATTCTACGACTCTATAATTCTGATTATTTCTTTTCTTGAGGGATTACTATCAGACTTAGGTTCTGCAGTGAAGGTCCCCCCTGTCCCGCTGGGAATCGACCCCAGATCTCTCGCTGTATTTTTGTGGTATGTTTGTCAGATCGGGTTGGAGGGGGGGGGGTGTCGAGGGGACTTGAGGTCCAGATCAGCCATGATCTTATAAAATGGCGGAACAGGCTCGAGGGGCTGAATGGCCTCCTCCTGTTTACAGAATATACTGCAAAGCGATTATGTGATTATGGTCGGCGTCACCTCTCGACTGTCCCACACCCCCCACACCCCACCCCCCGGGGTCTTCCGCTTGTCCCTCGCGCCCTCCGCCCCACTATCACTCTCAGCCGCTGCGCCCCAAAACTCCCTCAATCCTTCCGCCTCTCCCCCCCGCCCCCACCCAAACCCACCCCCTCTCTCTCTCTCTCTCTCCCCTCTTTTGAGTCGTGCTCGAAAACCTTCCTCTTTGACCGTGCTAACGGCCGCCCCCCCCTCCCCGCCATCTCCCCCCCACCCCCCAGCCCTCCCCACCGGCTCGGAATGGGGTCCCGCCACCGTGAAGCCCTCCGAGACGTGGAGGGTCTTGACGTAAATGCCCATGGAGGTGGGGGGGGGACTGCGAATCCCACAGCGCAGTGAGATTCCAAGTGTTGGGTGAGTTTCAGGAGTGAGGGAGGGAGGGAGGGAGGGATGGGAGGAGAGAGGGAGTGGGTGGGAGGGAGAGAGAGAGAGAGAGAGAGGCAGTGAATAGAATTACAATCAGCTTTAGGAGGAGGAGAATTAAACAGAAAGGGGAGGGGAGGGGGGGGGCACTTTTGCAGTCAAAACACACACACACACACTCAGCAACGAAACACACAGAAGAAACCTTCCAGAGGAGAAGGGGAAGAGCTTTTGGGAGAGGTTTAAGTCCATTTAAAGTCTCTGTTTGGGTCTGTGATAGTGACTGAGATCAGTGCATCTCTCTCTCTCTCTCTCTCTCTCTTTTGTTGGGGGGTAACTTTGTTTTGCAAACCAGAAGAATTTTTTTTTGGGGGGGTTTGGGTTTGGGGGGTTTGTAGGGGAGAGATTTGGGGATGACTGGGGCAGCTCTCTCTCTCTCACTCTCTTTCACACTCACTCTCTCTCACACTCACTCTCTGTGAAATAATCTCTTTAAATAAGAGGGAGACAGGAAAACAACACCACAGACACACACACACCTTTGCATTGTAATCCACATTACTGTTGGGGAGTGTTTGGCTCTTTAAAGCAATTGTTTTATTGGGTGAAGGAGAGAGAGAGAGAGAGAAAGAAGTGAAGAGGGGAAAGAAAAGGGGGAAGGAAAGGAGAGAGAGAGGGGGGGAGAAGGTGAGAAAGAAGAGGAAGAAAAAGTAGGAGGGAAAGAAGGGAGAAAGAGAGAGAGGGGGAGAAAGGAAAGGGGGGAAAAAGGAGAGGGAAGAAGGAGAAAGGGGGAGGGAGAGAAGGAAAGAAAGGGAGGAAGGAAGGAAAGAGAGAAGTGGGGGAAGGAGAAAGGGGGAAAGGAGAGAAAGAAAAGAAGGGGAGAGGAGAGAGAGAGAGAAGGAAAGAGGGAAAGAAAAGGGGTGGTGTGGGGGGGGGAGAGAGAAGGAAGAAAAGAAGAGAGAAAAGAAAGAAGGAGATAAGGAAAAGAAGAAAGTGCCAAGAATTTTTCCCCACACACTTTCCAACAAAAAAAAGTCTTTCTCCCCCACTCTTCCACTCTCTCCCCCCACTCTCCCCCTCTCCCCACTCCCCCTCTCCCCCACTCTTTCCCCCCAAAAAAGTCCAGGATTTGTCAGAATTTCGAAGAGAAAATAGGGATAAACTCGAGTTAAAGTGTTTGGATTCTCCCCCGAGTTCGTGATTCCAAAAGAACAACTAAACCGGAGTTGGATTTCATCTCTGGAACTGCACCGAGACTTCAGTTACTCCCTCCGGGAGGTGAGTGACTGGGGGGGAGTGACTGGGAGGGAGTGACTGGGGGAGAGTGACTGGGGGGGAGTGACCGGGGGGGGAGTGACTGGGGGGGAGTGACGGGGGGGGAGTGACTGGGGGGGGAGTGACTGGGGGGTGAGTGACCGGGGGGGGGAGTGACTGGGGGGGGAGTGACCGGGGGGGGGGGGGGGGGGAGTGACGGGGGGAGTGACTGGGGGGAGTGACCGGGGGGGAGTGACTGGGGGGGGAGTGACTGGGGGGGGAGAGTGACTGGGGGGGGAGTGACTGGGGGGAGATGACTGGGGGGAGTGACTGGGGGGGAGTGACTGGGGGGGGAGTGACCGGGGGGAGTGACTGGGGGGAGAGTGACTGGGGGGGGGGAGTGACTGGGGGGAGAGTGACTGGGTGGGGGAGTGACTGGGGGGGAGACTGGGAGAGTGACGGGGGGGGTGACTGGAGGGGAGTGGGGGGCACTCAGGGAGTGAGGGGCAGAGGGGGGGAGTGACTAAGGGGGGAAGTGGGGGGCACTCAGGGAGTGAGGGGGTGACTGATTGAGGGGCTAAGTGAGGGGGTGACTGAGTGAGGGGGTGACTGAGGGCGTGAGTGAGGGGTTGAGTGAGTGACTGATTGAGGGGCTGAGTGGGTGAGTGAGTGAGGGGTTGACTGAGGGGCTGAGTGGGTGAGTGGGTGACTGAGTGAGTGGGTGAGTGAGTGAGTGGGTGACTGAGTGAGGGGGTGAGTCAGTGAGGGGCTGAGTGGGTGACTGAGTGAGGGGGTGACTGAGGGGCTGAGTGAGTGACTGAGTGAGGGGTTGAGTGAGGGGCTGAGTGAGAAGGTGACTGAGGGGCTGAGTGGGTGACTGAGTGAGTGAGTGAGTGAGGGGGTGAGTGACTGAGTGAGGGGGTGACTGAGGGGCTGAGTGGGTGAGTGAGGGGGTGACTGAGTGAGGGGGTGACTGAGTGAGGGGGTGAGTGAGGGGCTGACTTAGGGGCTGAGTGAGGGAGTGAGTGAGGGGCTGAGTGAGGGAGTAAGTGAGGGGGTGACTGAGGGGCTGATTGAGTGAGTGAGTGACTGAGTGAGGGGGTGACTGAGTGAGGGGGTGCCTGAGTGAGTGATTGAGTGAGGGGGTGACTGAGGGGCTAAGTGAGTGAGGGGCTGAGTGAGTGAGTAACCGAGTGAGGGGGTGACTGAGTGAGGGAGTGAGTAACTGAGTGAGTGAGTGAGTAGATTCCAGGTGTCGAATCCCAACTCACGTGGAGTATACGGTCCCGAAATCGCGGACAATTCGTTAATTAAGTGATCGCCCCTCAAAAAAAAAAGCCAATTCAGAAACGAATCAGCGACAATCAATCGATTTAATCGTTCAATTAACAATTCGTTCATCAATTGATGGGAAAGCGACAGTTCCCTTTTGCTGCTCTGTCGCACTTACTTCGACGGGAAAGTTTGGACCGATTAATTGTTGCTGATTATTTTTGTTAATCGGCTTTTATTTTTAAACGGTGGTGTTTTATTTTCCTTCGTGTCGTGTGAATTTATTTTTGGGTGTGTGGGTGGGTGTGTGGGTGGGTGTGGGTGGGTGGATGGATGTGTGGGGTGTGTGTGGGTGGGGGGGGGTGTGTGGGGGTGGATGGGTGGGTGTGTGTGGGGGGTGGGGGGGGGGGGGGGTGGGGGGGGGTGTGGGTGGATGTGTGGGTGGGGGGGGTGGATGTGTGGGGGGTTGGGGGTGGGTGGTGGATGTATGGGGGTGTGTGTGGGTGGGGGTGGGTGTGTGGGGTGGATGGGTGGGTGTGTGGGGTGTGTGGGGGGTGGGTGGGGGTGGATGTGTGGGGGTGGATGGGTGGGGGTGGATGGGTGTGGATGGGTGTGGGGGGGGGTGTGGGTGGATGTGTGGGTGGGGGTGTGGGTGGGTGATAGAATCTTATTTCTGTTCGCAATCAAGAACAATCGTCTGTTTGTTTTCAGTCCATTGTACGATAATTATAATAATAAATATCATAATTAAATGACAATAAACAGCAAGAAACAGAGAAGATTATAATAATAATAATAATAATAATAACAATAATAATCCTTGTGTTTGATACAGTGCCGAACCACATCTTCGAGATGTTTCAAAGCAAAGTTTAGATAACAATAATAATATAATAATAGATGACAATAAATAACAAGAAATAGAGATCATAATAATAATAATAACAATAATAATCCCGGCATTTGATACACCGCCTCATTACGTCTTCGAGGCGTCTCAAAGCGCTTCACAGGATACACCGTAAAGTGTAGTGACTGTGTGTTTTGTGGGCGAAATGCGGCAGCCGATTGCGCACAGCAGCGTCCCCACCACAAACAGCCGCGGGTTGAGCGACCGATTTATTATTATTATTTTGAAGGGATTATTACCCCCGAAAAAGCGATCCCCCAATCGACTGACAACCGGGTTCCTACTGACTGCCGGTAACCAGAGGCGCGCGTGTGTGTGTGTGTGTCTCTGTGTGTGTGTGTGTGTGGGGGGGGGGGGGGAGTAAGGAAACTTCCCCAACGTTTCGCCCTGACCTGACCCGCCCGGGGCTCGAACCCCTGAGCTCGGGGGACTCCCATTTGTGCCGAGTTGCTCTCGTAAGACAGTCCCCGGTGTTTAAGCCATATTTCTTTCTGTGTTTGTAATGCAATGTGTTGCTGAGGTTTAGGCGTAGAGGGACAACCCACCACGCCCACACCCACACACGCCCCCCCACCCACCCCCACACACACCCCCCCACACACACACTCCCCCCCACACACTGAAACCTGGTTTGCCAGTCAGTGCTTTCCTTTGAGCAAGTTAGAGAGCAAAACCACCCCGAACCGCCGCGTTTGTGGAACTTTGCAACAGCTGTTGGAAAGTTTAAAGCGGAGCAGGTTTTTAATTGCTTCCAAATGGTTTGCGGTTAATCCCTATCGATGGCGCATTTTTGTCTCGTAACGTTGCTTTGTGTTTCTGGATCCCTGTCAGTTCCCGAGACCCCAAAATGTCACCTCATCCCAGCCTCGTGAGACCGTTTTGCCTGAAGAGTTATTTCTTTCCCGGCCGGGTGTCCCGACAAACACGCGGAAACCCGTCACCGTGGCTTAAGAGTCTCCGAACCCGACTGAGAATTCCCCACATCCCCCCCCCCCCACACCTGGAAACCCCAGAGATAGATCGTTGGAATGGATTGCGATCTCTCTCTCTCTCTCTTTATCTCTCTCTCCCTGGAGGGACGCCCCCCCCCCCCCCCCACCCCCGCGCTTACCTAATTCCGGAGAGTATTAGGCGCAGGTTGGTGGGGGAGCCCAGCGTGTGCCTTGGGGGCTAACCCGCTAATACCACACATAGCTTGGCCATTGATAGATAGAATTGGGGACGACGATGATGACGTTGTCGTTGTTGTTGTTGAGCTGAGAGCCACTGGGCTGAAGTTACGGCGCACCGGCAATTTATACGTGTCAATACCCGCGAGCTCTCTTCTCAGTGAGCTACACGTTACTCGAACTGATTGCTGTATTAATAATGAATTGAGGTGCGTTGCTGCTTTCAGTCGAGGTAAGGTAATGACACGTGTGTCCTCGGTTGCCACGCTCGCTTGCCAATCACCAGCCGTGTTTCCAATCAGCGTGAAAGCCCTATAACTCGCGAGTGCTTCGGGCTCTCATGACGTCTCGCAGGAGTGGAACAAGCTATATATCATTCGGAAGGATCTATCGCCCTAACCTGTGTCTCCTCAATCCGCAGATAACGGTAAAAATCCTTGCATTTTTTTTTGAGCCCCCGCCTTAACGAGTCTTCGAGATGTCCCAAAGCGCTTCACCGGGATACACCGTAAAGCGAGTTCACTGCATGTTTTGTGGGCGAAACGCGGCAGCCAATTGCGCACAGCAGCGTCCCCCACAATCGTCTAACGCTCTGGTAAACACAGGCGTGTGTGTGTGTCTGTGTCTGTGTGTGTGTAGTAAGGAAACTTGCCCAATATTTCGCCCTGACCTGACCCACCCGGGAATCGAACCCGGTCCTCCCGCTTGCGAGGCGAGCTCTCTGACCCTCTGCAATAAAATAAAGTGTAATAACATAATAACCTGCAATCATACAATAATATAAAAGTGGAGCTATGGGAACGCCACTCCAGTGGAAAACCTTCTCCAGTTAGCAGCGGACTGGGAATGAAAAATCTCTTGTGACTGTTTCACAGGAGCGCGGAATGGAAAAAAATCTGATTTTTTTGAACAGAAATGGCTGGGAATGGCACTGTAGAGTTTTGCCGTCAGGACAGCGAACCCCTGGCGTCATCTGAAGGCATCGTTGTTGTGATTATTCGACGTTTGATTGATAGCAACTCTGAACACTCAGAGCCTGTTTGCCTTTTCTCTGAGTGGGCGCAGCGTAAACGGATGGCATCCGAACTCAAACTAATCCAGATTGATTTTCAATTTCCTGTGCAAACAGCTCTGTAGATTAGCAGGAGGCAGGAAGCCTTGCGAGAGGCTCTTCCGAACACGCTGTTTGTCACGGTTTGTCACGTTCAGCCCGTTGGAAGCTTGCACCGCTGTGGGTGTCAGTCTGAACGAGGCTTGGGGTGGCTTGAGCTGTCGTTGAGGCGCTTTTAACCAGTTGTTCAGTGGGACTGTTCTCACCTCAGGACAGATTCTGTGAACAGAGCCCGATCCGGGTCAGATCAGGTAACGTTTCGCCCGCAAAACACTCACGCTGACGTCTCAACAGAGCTGTACCAAATGCAAGGCTTACTAGATTCTCTGGTTATTATTATTATTATATTATTATCATCATCATCATCAGGGAGAAGGTTTCTGACGAGTCAGGGGGTTGGCAATCAAACTGCCGGTACTCTTCCGATCGTCGGTCGAGGCTGTGGATTACGGCTGCGTTCACCTCGTCCAAACCGAGGTGGATAGATGTTTGTTAGGTCGGGGGATGTGGGACAAGGGCGGCCATGGTCTAACAGAATGGTGGAACAGGCTCGAGGGGCTGGATGGCCTCCTCCTGTTCGTACGTGTGGGAAGATTGATGGCGTAGTGTAGAATATTCAGACACCGTGCGGCCTGGGGAACCGACTGTGTATTTTTGTGGGCGAAAACCGGCTGCCGTTCCCCACCAACAGTCGTGGATTGAGTGATCATTTTACTGTTATTATTTTGAAGGAAGTGTTATCCCATTTATTTGATGTTCGTATCCCACAGGACGAGAGCTTCCATTTCCGCGTTTGTATCTGGGCGCCCACTCAACAAACGTGAGGACCCGGGTTCAATTCCCAGGCGGGTCAGGTCAGGGCGAAATGTTGGGCAGGTTTCCTTACCCCCGTCCCCACACACACGCGGCTCTGGTTACCGGCAGTCAGTAGGAACCCGGTTGTTGGTCGATTGGCGGATGGCTTTTCCGGGGGTAATAATCCCTTCAACAAAAAACAACAATAATAGTAAATTGGCCACTCAATCCACGACTGTTTGTGGGGACGCCGCTGTGTGCAATTAGCTGCCCAGTCAAAAAACCTGCGATGCGCTTTGAGACGTCTCGAAGACGCGATAAGGCGCTGTATTAATGGCCAAGGGTTATTATTATTATTATCAGCGTGTCCGCTGTTTCGAGGCCAGGCTACTAGGTCAACGCTAACCCCAGATACCAGGGCTGTTGGGTTTGGCCCGAACATTGATCGGTTTGCACAGACAGTCTCCCCATTGTGTGGGGGCAGATATTTGATGTGGACTGATGCTCACAGTAAGTTACAGCAAGGCATTGATGCTAAGCAAAAATATTAAGACATAGATTACTTTCTGTTTGTTGTTCTTTTCGGCGTTGGTTGATTTAAGCCAATAAACTCTTGTGTTGCTCTTTCTGGTTGGCAAGAAACATGAATGAAACCCTTGAACGATTCCCCCAAACCTTGCGAGACTTTTCCGAAAACCTTTTCAAGGGATATTTGTCGTTTTCTTTACTCCCTCCCCCCCATGGAAAAATAATAATAATACTTCCGTTTGACACAGTGCCTTATCACGTTCGCGACGTCTCCAAGCGCTTCGCAGGATACACTGTAGAGTAGCGTAGTGACTGTTTATTTACGGGTAGCCAATTGTGGACAGCAGCAGCTCCCACAAACCGTCGTGGATCAGGGACGAACAGGAAGCCGGTGTCGGGGAGGGTAAGCAGGTCGGAGAGGTAGGGAAGTGCGAGGGCAGGAACAGATTAGTCTCTCCATTACTGAGTCTTTTTGGCGCGACTTCAGAGGCTCTCAGAAGTGTGAGGATTACTCATAGACACGAGTGGTGGTGACCGAAACCAGGAACAATGTTCAAGTCAGGTTCCAGAAATGAATCTTACCCTCGACTGGTGGATCAGGAACCAACGAGGTCCGGCACAAGACATGTGCGAGTGGAAAAGTGATTCATCCTCACCTAAACAAACCTCCCGCTCACAGGTCTGACTAAACACTCCAAGCATTCGGTCTTGGTTTCACTGGAGCAAAGGTTAAGAAGGGAATCCAAACAGGGGGTTCGAAAACTTCTGCGAGGCTTCGAGAGGATAAATAGTTATTTCGCCCACAAATTACACCAAGTCCATTCGCTTCACAGTACCATCTTTGAAACGTCGCAAAGTCGTGATAAGGGGCTGCATCGGATGCAAGGAGTATTATTGTATTATGGTTTATAAAAGAGCCAACACACGACACGAGAGACCGAACGCCCTTTCTCCGCGCGATAAATGTCCTCGTTTCTAAAGAGGGAACTTTCAGTGAACGTCAAGATGTTTCGGACGTTATTCCCAGTAATCGTACTGTGAAAACTCGGCGACTTTAGTTGCGGTCAAACCGATGGGTTATTCATAGCCCACAAAATACACAGTCACTACACTTTACAGTGTAATCTGTGAAGCGCTTTGAGACGTCTAGAAGATGTGATAAAGCGCTGTAACGAATGCAAAGATTATTATAATCACAATAATTCCAATAATTATTAAATATTACAATAATTATAATAATTGGGGTGAAATTTTAATAATAATTTTACCCCAAATTATTATAATACATAATTATTATGATTATTATTATAATAATTGGGGTAACATTTTAATAATTATTATAATAATAATAATTGGGGTAAAATTATTACTATTAATTTGGAGGATTCCTACCAAATGTTGTATTCCACTGAAACGTATTCGCTTTTCCACAGCCTTAAAAGATTCCAATCGAGCGAGTTTCCCCCTCGTTGCTGTCCGGTTGGGAATTGCACGGAGCAGGAATCCGGATGCAAGTGGAGCACAAATGGTGATACATGGAGCAGTGCAGAAGCAGAAGCAATAGTGGAATGATCAGCTGGATTCACTGTGTGTACTGGGCAGTCTTGGTATCCGTGTCCCTCTCCGTGGCACGGCCTGCCCTCACCTTACCAGAGCAAGGTAAGGACTACTCCCCTCTTTACCACTCCTGGTACCTCCCTCCCTCCCTTCCTGACCTCCCTCACCCCCGAACCCCCACCTCTCGACTGGCACCGATCTCCTACTCGTCCCTCGCGCTTTCAGCCACTGCGCCCCGAAACTCCGGGACACTCTCCCTCAATCCCTCCACTCTCCCCCCCTTCTCTCTCTCTCGCCCCCCCCCCCCCCAAAAAAAAACCTTCCGGTTCGACCGTGCTCATGGCCACCTGGACGTCCCCTCCCGATGTGAAGGGTGTGATATAAATGCAAGTTGTCGTTGCTGTGGTCGGTCTGTATTATGTGGTCAGATCGGGTGGTGCTGTTGGTTTGGACCAGAAGTCCTCCACAGGAGGATTCAGGGGCCATTGTTTGTGGAGTGAGGGGCGACGGCAGATGATGGTGGTTTGGGATTCGGTCAGAGCTGTCTCTCTCTCTCTCTCTCTCTCTCTCCGAGGAAGTTGTGGTTGTCGCGTGATCCGTCAGTCAGGAGCGCAGCATCTGAAAACATGGGTTGCATTCATCGCGTCCGGCCCGGAATTCTAACTGAAATAAACAAAGTTCGACCGAAATAGATTTCCAAAATGTGCCTTAGAGGAAGCTTTCACCCGTGCGAGAGTCAAACGGGGATGAGTGGAGCCCTGTAGCGCAGTGGTTAGACCACTCGGCTCGCAAGCGGGGAGACCTGGGTTCCATTCCCGGCCGGTCAGGGCGAAACCTTGGGCAAGTTTCCTTACTCCACGCGCCTGATAATCAACCCTCGAGGGGGGGAAAAAAATACAACTAAAATAATAATTTGGTCACTCGATCCACGGCTGTTTGTGGGGACGCTGCTGTGCGCAATTGGCCGCCGCGTTTGGCACACAAATATACAGTCAGTTCACCGTACAGTGTATCCTGTGAAGCGCTTTGAGACGTCTCGGGGACGTGAAAAGCGCTCTATCAAATCAAGGATTATTATTATTATTGTTGTGTGGAATATAAAACGAAAACACTAGTGTGGAATAGTTCGGCCGAATGGACTGTTTCCTTCTTGTTCTCAGTAATTCTATGTAACATCTATAACGATGGCACTTCTGGTTATCTGACTCTCAGATAAATGCAGGAGGAAATCTTCTCCAGATAAGTCTGCTCCGAGTCACGTACAGATACGTTCCTCACCATCCATGTCTGCTTGGCTTTGTTGGGTCCTGTTCATTGTGGAGTCCGACAGCAGTGGTCAGAGCACTCGCCTTGCAAGCGAGAGGACCTGGGTTCGAATCCCGGGTCAGAGCGAAACCTTGGGCAAGTTTCCTTACTCCACACATACACACACACACACACACGCCTCTGTTTGTTAGTCGATTGGCGGATCGCTTTCCTGGGGTTAATAATCCCTTCAAAAAAAAAATTGGGGGTCACTCAACCCACGACTGTTTGTGGGGACGCTGCTGTGCGCAATTGGCTGCTGAGTTTTCCCCGGAGAATGCACAGTCACTCCACTTGACAATCTATCCTGTGAAGCGCTTCGAGAACGTCTCAACGACGCGATAAGGCGCTGGATCGAATGCAAGGATTATTATTATTATTATCGTGTATATTTTTTTCCCTCTTTCAATCCATCCATCTATCTCTCTCTCTCTCTCTCTCTGTTGCTCCCTTTCTCAGTCTGGTAGTTCTGAGATGTTTCCAGTTTTGTGCGGCAATCTTTAATAGAGCTTTTTGTTCCCTCGTGAAATGAACGAACGGCTCCCTCGAGGGACGGACAGCTGAAGCAGGAAATGTCCATTCCTTCAAACACAGACGAGATAGTTTTCTTTTAGGGAATAGTGTGACCGGATATAGTACATAGGGAGTTTGGGACATCTGTAACGTGATGCATAGATAGTTTGGAACGTATGTTACATGATACGTAGGTAGTTTGGGACATATGTTACATGATACGTAGGTAGTTTGGGACTACCTACCAAACTACCTACGTATCATGTAACATAAGTGCGCGCGTGCGTGCCAGGAAGGTGGAAGGCAAACTAGACGGACCTTGGTCTATGTTGTCGCCTGGTATTTCTTAGGTTCTTCTGAAGTGATGGAGCACATGTGCCTGTTCTCGCTGCCCTGAAGTGATCTCAGTGATCAGTTACAGACCACAGCCTCTGTGATTCAGACCTGTTCGTGGTTTTGGTCTGACAAACCTCAACATTGGCAGTTAACAAGCAGCGATTCTGATGACCAACATCTTAGCCATTCACTGAGGAGTTTGGGCCTCTCCCTGTTAAAGCCTTGAAGGGAGATTTGTCATCAAGTGTGGGAGCTTTGATTATTTTACAAGCGCACAACTGGATTCTGTATCCTGTGTCCTAGAGCTCAGGGGTTAGAGCCCTCGCCTCGCAAGCGAGAGAGGACCCGGGTTCGATTCCCGGGCGGGTCAGGTCAGGGCAAAACGTTGGGAAAGTTTCCTTACTCCACCCCCCCCCCACCCACACACACACACACACACACTCTGTTTACCGGCAGTCAGTAGGAACCCGGTTGTTAGTCGATTAGCGGATCGCTTTTCCGGGGGTAACAATTCCTTTCTTGAAAAAATTGGTCGCTCATTCCACGGCCGTTTGTGGGGACGCCGCTGTGCGCAATCGGCTGCCGCGTTTCGCCCACAAAATACACAGTCGCTACACTTTACAGTGTGTCCCGTGAAGCGCTTTGAGACGTCTCGAAGACGTGATCAGGCGCCGGGTCAAATGCCAGGATTATCGTTATTATATTACAGTGTATTAAATTATAAAACCAGATTGGGGCAGTTAAGCAACTTATGTTCCTCTGACACATACACACACACACACACAGGACTTCCTGATGAAATTGGCCTCAAACTTGATAATCCGCAGAGCTTTTGTGATGTGTCATTCCCCCCAAATTTACGACTCACAAAACTCTTGAGGGGATGGCCCAGCTGCAGACAGTACAGACGTCTAACGGCGCGAAAGGAATCCTTTTAGTGATGGGTGTGTTACTCACACACTCAACCCCACACAGTCCACGTTCGTGTTTACATCCTAACTTTTATTGGGCTCCATTAGAGTGTGGGTGTGCGCGCGTGTGTGTGTGTGTGTAATGGTGCTCTGTATCTGGATTGAGGCCTCTGGCATTTGTCAGAGCTTTAGATAAGGTACCGTTGGTATAAGCCGAGACGTGTCTGCCTTGTGGTCATCTCCTTCTTGAAGGCAGCGCGACAGGAAGCTGCCGGGCAGAGGGAGGTGATGGGTCTGGAGCTGTGATTAATTGCTCAGCTCCGGGGGGAGGTGTGTGTGGGTGGGGGGGGGCGGGGGGGGTTGCGGGGTTGGGAGGGGGGTTGGAATCTGGAAACTGCCCATTCATTATCGCGCAGACGGAGTGTCAAAGGCTAACCTTGCCAGCTGTGGCAATGTTTTTACAAAGTGCTTCCCGCAGGGGGTGGGGGGGAGAGGGAGAGGTGGCGTTTGGGGGTGGGAGCGGAGGAGGGAGTGGGGGAGAGATGGATTGAGGGGATAGAGGGAGAGAGGGAGGGATGGGGAGAGGAAGTAGGGATGGGGAAGGGGGGAGATTGAGGGAGGAGGGAGAGGTGGGGGAGGGGGGAGGGAGGGAGAGATGGGGGAGGAGGGAAGGAGAGATGGGGGGAGAGGGAGGGAGAGATGAGGGAGGGAGAGATCGGGGAGCAGAGGGGGGAGAGATCGGGGAGTGTGGGGGGAGAGATCGGGGAGCGGCGGGGGGAGAGATCGGGGAGCGCGGGGGGAGAGACAGAGGAGTTGAAGGATGGGGCGGTGGGGGGGGCAACTACAGTGTTAGGGTCTGGCTGAACAACACCAACAGCTTGCATTTATATCGGTGACTGATTCCGATGACATCTGCCCGGTTGTGTTGCAACTCTGTTTGTTAATCGTGTCTGTGACACGGTGGGAACTATCATTTGTTGCCCACACACACGGAGATTCATCTCTGGATCGTGTCGTTGCTGTAACACAGGCCGGAGAGAAGCTTAATTTGCTTCGCGCGTCTCCACGTCAACAAGGGGTAGCAGCAGATGCTGCTAACTTATTATTATTATAATAATAATAATAATAATAATCCTCGCATTTGATACGGCGCCTTATCACGTCTTCGAGATGTCTCAAAGCGCTTCACGGGCCACAGCGGGGAAACTGCAACCGATGGGGACACTGTTACGTGGGATTCGAGGCCAAATGTTTGAAACCAGACCGACCGCACGATAAGCAAACTGTACTCCTCCCTCAACTCTCAACGGATTCACATTGTTATTATTAATAATAATAATGATAATCCTCGCATCTGACCCGGCGTCTCATCACGTCTTCGAGACGTCTCAAAGCGCTTCGCAGGACACACTTCAAAGTGTAGGGACTGTGTATTTTGTGGGCGAAACGCGGCAGCCAGTCGCGCGCAGCAGCGTTCCCCCCACAAACAGCCGTGGGTTGAGCGGCCGAATTATAATTATTTAAATGTATTCGAAATATCTGGAAGGGATTATTATTAATCCCAGAAAAGCGATCCGCCAATCGACTAACAACCGGGTTCCTACTGACTGCCGGTAACCAGAGGCGCGCGTGTGTGTGTGTGTGAGTGTGAGTGTGTGTGTGGGGGGGTGTTGGGGTGGGAGGGGGAGTAAGGAAACTTTCCCAACGTTTCGCCCTGACCCGACCCGCCCGGGAGTCGAACCCGGGTCCTCTCGCTCGCGAGGCGAGGGCTCTTAACCACTAACCAGGGACTCCACGCACTGAACCAAGTTGGTACAGGTTTTTTTGTGAATGATTAACATTTAGTGCTGTGGTCAGACATCCACTCTGAAGTCGGCCATTTACTGTGACGGATTTCGACTGAAGCAGATACCGACTGTTATCAGACGTTTGCTTCCAGGCTCTTTGACGCCCTTCAGAAAGTTATCTTTACGGAAGGCCATTAGCTGTAAAAGCTTGCGGAGGGCTTTACTGTGTGTTAAGTTATGAGGGCAACTG